TGTTCCCACAATTCAATTAGGAAAAGACTTAGGAAATAGTGGCCACAATACACAAGGTGAGGGAGACGTCATGTGAAAATAAACTCATTACAATGGATTAAAAATGAAGGATGAGAAGCAGTATGAATGATGAAGTATATGTTTGAGTGAATCAGTAACTTTCAGGATGTCTAACTTGGAATGTGGCCCTTAAAGCTTGAATGAGGTTATTTAGAAATAGAACAAAGGAGGCTTTGATTGGTAATAAGTTATAAGTAAGACACTAGTGATATTCAAGGGAAATTTTTCTCTTTTCAAGTTTATGCCTTGAAATGTCTTCCATAAAACATTTCTTGGGGCTATAAAACTGAAATCAGATTATGAGTCTCATGTGTTCAAAACCTTTGCAGTGACTTCCCTAAATGGCCATGAGACCTCCAACATATGCGTCTCCCTCACACCCAATTTGCTTTGACTTCAGCATTTACTGTTCTCTCCCTTGCTCACTGCACTCTATCCTTGAACAAGCCAGGTGTTGTCTGGTTTAAAACTAACTTTTCTTTGCCTAGAATCATTTTTCTCAGTTGGCCAACTCCCTCAGGAGTACAGTTGGCCCTTTGTATCCATAGGTTCTGCATTTGTGGATTAACCAACTGTGCATTGAAAAATACCAGAAAAAAGTTCCAGAAAGTTCCAAAAAGCAAACCTTGAATTTGCCATGTGCTGACAACTATTGACATAGCACTTATATTGTATTTACAACTATTTACATAGCACTTACATTTTTGGGTATTAAGAAAAAAATCTCAAGATGATTTAAAGTATTTGGGAAGATGTGCATAGGTTATATGCAAATACTACATTGTCTTATATAAGGGACTTGGATTTTGGTATTTGTGGGAGGTCCTGGAACAAATTCCCTATGGTTACCCAAGAGTGACTATTTTCACCATGGAAATGAGAAAATGCTACAAATTAGGGCTTTCTTTTCCATCCCCCATCCCACCCAAGGAGTTTGTTTAGTGCTATAAGGTTTTTCAGGACTTACCTACTTTTCCCAAATTATGCTGTGAAACATGGGACTTTCAGATGCTTTGTGGAAAAGTATTATGTGATCAAATATGTTTCAGGAATATTGCATATAGAAATGTACTCTCTTTATTAGAGAGTCACAATATGTATGAATATTCTGAAATCTCTGCTGTTTCATGCTACGAAGAGAGATATTTAACTTTATATAGCTCAGCATTTCCAAAACTTTGTATTTATGTAACTAATTTTTGTGTTACATATTATTAATAATTGATTAAATTAATATTTTGAGAGTACTTTTTAAAGAACATAGAGATAAATCATGTTTATTACTTACCAACTTAAAATGTGTTTTATTTTCAGCCCTGGCAAGGTAACCCTGCTGGGGTCAGTTATCTTCACATTTCAGCAAACCAAGCTTCTGGCAATATCAAGGCATAATCTTATGTTCCTCTATACTATGTTTCTTGTGGCCACAAAGGTAAGATTTCAGAGTATCAATAAATCAGTAATACAAATTCTATGTAACCAGAATTCTGCATAAGAGGCAAATAACAGAAACATTTATTTTTTTTTTACGATAGTCTAAAAATACCAATTTAGGGGAGTTTATTCAGCACATCCATGACTTACTGAAACATAGCTCTTCTATGATTCCTCATTTGATTTGTATTAAGGCTATTAGGAAAGATTTGCAGATGGCCTTGTAGTACATTGAAGGCCAGAAAGTAGTGAAAATAGCCAAGGCTGATCAGAGACTGCAAAGATAGTGTTGTGTCATTTGTACAATGAGGTGCTTGGAGGGGATGTTCTCTAAAGTTCCGTTAAACTTTAAATTTTTGAAATTTTATATTAGAACATATTTGTGGTCAGTCTTTTCAATTACCATTTCCTGGTTGGATGCTTTATTCCTTCTTGAAGATAGGAAATAGTATGATACAAGATCATAGGTTTTAGAGACAGGCAGTCTTAAATTTAAATCCTAGTTTTGCTGTCTGATCCCTGAATATGCAAGTCACTTAATGTCTGTGAATCCGAATTTCCTCATCTTCATTGTACCAATTGTTGACGAGATTGGAGATGATGTATGCCATGCTGTGACTGTGTTTGACACATGTTATGAATTTTATTTGCAGCTGTATCATGAAGCTAATTCTGAATATTCTTCTTAACAGTTATTAGATGTTTTTCACTATTCATAAATAGACAATTGATTTTAAAATAAGATTATTATTTAAGCCTAGAAAAATTTTATAAATAACAATCTCAGCCTAGATATTTTTGGCTGAAAACTTAACTATGGGATCCTTAAAAGGAAAACAGGATGTATTATGTAAATTTATTTATAACTTAGAAAGAACCAAATCACTATAGGGATCATTTATTTTTATTCCAGTAGTCTCTGCAATGAAGGTGATCTGTGATTGTTATAATTCAAATATTATACTTAAAATACCTAAGGCAAAATCTCTTCATATGTTCCCTCTTTTTCCAGTCATCAAAACTTTGAGCTGTATTTTTTTGCAACAGCTTTACTGGGATATATTTTAACATACCATACAGTTTATCCATTTAAAGTGTACAATTCAATGGTTTTTAGTATGTTTACAGAGTTGTGCAGCTATTATCACAATCAATATGAAAACATTTTCATCACCCTAAAATAAACCTCATACTCATTAGCAGTCACTTGACTTTTTTCCTCAATCCCCTCAGCTGTAGACAACCACTAATCTACTTTCTGCTTACAAATTTGCCTATTCTAACATCTCATATAAGTGGAATCATACAATTTGTGACCTGTGACTGTTCTTTCTACTTAGCATGATGTTTTTGAGGTTCATCCATGTCGTAGTATGTATCAGGATGTTATTCCTTTTTATTGCCAAATAATATTCAGTTGTATGGATATACCACATTTTATTTATCAGTTGATGGATATTTGGATTGTTTTACTTTTTGACTAATAAGAATAATGAGCTACAAACATTCATGTACAAGTTTTTGTGTGGTTATGTATTACATTTTTCTTGGGTATATCATATAGAAATGAAATTATTAGATCATATAGTAACTCTGTCTTTAACCTTTTCAGGAACTAACACTGTTTTCCAGAGGGGATTCATCATTTTACATTCCCATCAGCAATGTGTGTGAAAGTTCTGATTTCACCACTTTCTTACCAACACTTAACTTTTTTATAGAGCCATCCTAGTTGGTGTTAAGAGGCAACTCGTTGTGATTTTGATTCATATTTCCCTGATGACTAGTGATGTTGAGTATCTTTTTGTGTGTTTGTTGGCTATTTGTATATATTCTTTGGACAAATGTCTATTCAGATCATTTGCCCATTTTTAATCATATCATTTCTGTACTATTATTGATGAGATTTTGTAATTATTATATGTATATGTGAAAAGTAAATAGATTGTTTATTTGGAGGTATAGGGGTCTACGTATGTCTACATATATATTTGTTTGTTATGTTCCCTTTCTTTTCTGTCTCACTTATTTCATAATGGTTGAGTAGTATTCCATTGTATATATATACCAGTAGTCCATTGTGTATATATACCACATCTTTTTTATCTAGTTATCTGTTGATGGGCACTTAGGTTGTTTTCATGTCATGGCTATTGTAAATTCTGCAGTGAATATAGGGGTGCATATATCTTTTTGAGTTACTTTTTATGTATTCTTTATATGAATACCCAGAAATGGGATAGCTGAATCATATGGTAGTTCTGTTCTTAATTTTTTGAGGAATCTTTATACTGTTTTCAGTAGTGGCTGTGCCAATTTATATGTTCCTACCAACAGTGTATGAGATTCCCTTTTCTCCACATCTTCTCCAACACTTGTTATTGCTTGCCTTTTGATAATAGTCATTCTAACAGGTGTGAGGTGATAACTCATTGTGGTTTTGATATGAGTTTCCCTAATAATTAGTGATGTTGCATGTCTTTTCACGTACCTGTTGGCCCGTTGTATATCTTCTTTTTGAAAATTGTATATTCAGGTCTTCTGTCCATTTTGAAGTCAGATTGTTGGGTTTTTTTTTAATATATTGAATTCTATGCACTATTTATGTATTTTAGATATTAATCCTTTATCAGTCTTATCATTTGCAAATACTTTCTCCCAGTCAGTAGATTGTCTTTTTGTTTTGTTGATGGTTTCCTTTGCTCTGGAAAAGTTTTATGATTAATTAGGTCACATTTGCTTATTTCTGCTTTTATTTCTTTTGCCTTGGGAGACAGATCCAGAAATATATTGCTACATTTTATGTCAGAAATTATTCTGCTTATGTTCTCTTCTAGAGTTTTATGGTTTCAGGCCTTACATTTAAGTCTTTAATCCATTTTGAGTTTATTTTTGTATGTGGTGTGAGGAAATATTCTTATTTATTGTAGCTGTCCAGTTTTTCCAGCACCACTTACCGAAGAGACTGTCTTTTCTCCAGTGTACATCTATTCTGGCCTCCTTTGTTATAGATTAATTGACCATAAATCGCATGGGTTTATTTCTGGACTCTCTATTCTGTTCCACTGATCTGTGTGTCTGTTTCTCTGCCAGTACCATGTTGTTTTGATTGTTGTAGCTTTGTAGTATAGTCTGAAGTCAGGGAGCATGATACTTCCAGCTTTGTTCTTTTTTGTCATGAGGTTTGTATAAAACATCTTGTAGCTCAAATAGTCCTTTTTCCATGGATAGTATCTTGTCTTCATTTACCTATATAGATTCTGTCCTTTTTGTTTCCTGTTATGTTTTTGTTGTCTCAAATTACCCCTTTTTATGTTGTGAATTTGTTATAAAATTGAAGAAACTACAGTTATTTTTCTGTTCTGCCTGCCCTTTAGCTTTTATGCTGTAATAAAGTTTTAAAAACTTATTCTGATACAGAGTTTCGATTTCCTGATTCTGTCTGTCTATTTATCACCTTACTCAAAGTTTTATGTACTTTTACTTTTTGTTTCTTACATTTCATGTGGGCAGGTCTAGTGTTGATGAACTCCCACAGTTTTTGTTTGTCTGGGAAGGTCTTTTTTTCTTTTCTGTATCCGAATGATAACTTTGCTGGATAGAGTATTCTTGGCTCACAGTTTTTACCTTTCAGTATTTTGAGAATGTCATTCTTCTTCCTCTTGGCCTGTAGAGTTTCTGCTGAGCAATCTGCTGATAGCCTAATGGGGGTTCCTTTGTAGACTACTATTCTTTAAAAAATTCTTTGTATTAGTTTTTAACAATCTTAATATGTCTTGGAGAAGATCTTTTTGCTTTGAGGTAGTTAGGTGTTTTCTTCATGGACTTGTATATCCAGTTCATTTCCCAAGTTTGGGAAGTTCTCAGCTTTTATTTCTTTAAATAAACTCTCTACTCCTTTCTTTCTCTCTTCTTTACCTAATGCTGCTCTTCCTAAAAGTGTCAGATAGCTCTTGTACAGTTTCCCCTTGTTTTAAACATCTTGAGTCTCTTTCCTCTTTTACTAGTATCATTTCTAGATTTCTATCTTTGTGCTCACTAATTCTCTCTTCCATGTGATCTGTTCCATTTCCATTGCTTTCTAATGCATTCTTCATCTCGTTTATTGTGTTCTTTAGCTCCGAAACTTTTGTTTGGTTCTTTTTACAGTTTTAATCTCTTTGGTGAAGTATTGCTTCTTTTCATTCAGTTTATTCCTGAGCTTATCGCACTGCCTTTCTGAGTTTTCTTGTAGCTTGTTGAGTTTCTTTGAAGCTATTTTGAATTCTCTACCAGTTAGATTGCAGTATTCCATGAGTTTAGGTTTGGTTTCTGGAGAATTGCCGTTTTCCTTTTGTGGTACAGTTACTTTGGTTTTTCATGGCGCTTGATGAGTTGTTCATCTGCCCGTGCATTTGAAGCCCAGAACACCTTTCTACTTAATTCCTCATGAGTCAATAGATTAGAAATTAGAGGCCTTTCTTTTGTTTTCCAGTAGGTGGCGCTATAACACAAGTTTTTGTTTTCTTTTTACCGGCGCTTCCTCTGGTTATAATTCCACCTTCCACTGCCTCTTTCAGAGATGTTGTCCTGTGCCCTTGTTATAAGTGCTTGTACCTCAGGGGTTACTGGTGCCTTGCTCCTGCCAGTGTTGCTAGTATCACTACGTAGGGCACTGGGATGGTGGATTCTTCCGCAGTGTCCAGGGTCTCCTGGGTGGCAGACTCCATCACTGTGAGGGGAGAGGGATGGTGGTCGGGAGCTGGGGTTGTGTGGGTTCCTCTACCACGTCTGGTGTTGTAAGGTTCCTGGGCTTGGTAACTGTGGGTGGGGGAACAAGTGGGCTAGAGTTGTGAGCATCTTCACAGCTGAAGAGACGGGTCCTGGGCCCTGCAGCCCAGTTACCTGTGCCTGTGGTGCTGCTGTGGCTGGGAGGCTGGAGTCCTGTGTGCTACTTCTTGCAGCTACTGGGGTCTCTGGAGCTACGGGCTCAGCTTCTGCAGCCGGAAGTCCAGGACT